CAAATGAGTGTTATCCTGTGCAGCCTTAAAGATAGTTATCAGTCATGCAATAAAAAAATACTGAGTGTCTGCTGGGACATATTTTATTTTTGTGCTTTGTTATTAGCAAATGCACGGATGTGCGTTCTCAAATGAAAAATCAATGAGAATAATGAAAACCAAGCTATCAGGCATCTCTTACTTAGTTACCCTGTATTGAGAAAATGCTTCTATGTTTCTTTTACTTTTTGCTCCCTGGTCCACCCTGATTTAAATATTTAAAAAAGAGAAAGGGACTTGATGTTGGGACTATGAGATGTCGTGGGAAAGAAGAAGTCCTCGAAAGTGAGGAATTCTTGGTACCGCTGGGTGTAGGAAATAGGACTTTGAACCCCATACGATGAGCAGAAAATGTTTCAACAAGTCCTATTGCAGCCAGAGGGCGTGGTTTCAGAGCCAAGGTTTCCAGGTTGCTTTTTAACCCGCCTCTTGGCTTTTGTCTACATATTGAGCAGTTTTCATAAGGAACCTTGGGTGAGTCACATGTCCCTTCAGTGGAAAGACATTGGTGTGAGGGCCCCAGCACCCCAGATACGGGGGAGCCTCCTGCTCCCTGGACATCAGAACCCGGCATGTGTTCCCCTCATGCCGACCCTCACCAAACTGGGGTCACGGCGTTCATTCAAATAGCGGGGTGGAGAAAGGAAATTTATTGTTCCTTAAAGGCTATAGGGTTGATTCTGGCCTTCTTGTTCTCTCTGCTTCCTGACCATTTTTCTCCTTTCTAGTCAGTTCATTACTTGACAAATGCTAAACTAGTATATGGCTAGGGACAGAAATTTCCAGTTAAATAAATTCACTGCTAAAATATTATCCTTTAAAAAAGTTTAATGTGGGGAGTAAAATTACCTAGAGCGGAAACCCATCCCTCTTTTGTCCTCTGTTAACATGGATGAGGAAGAATAGGCCATGAGCAAACCCAACAGAGTGGTGGCCAAGTGACACCTATCTCAGTGTCTCTTCATGCAAAATGTTCCCACTTTGAGGTTCTTCAACAAACGAACTGTATCCCTCGGAGACCAAGGAGGAGTCCCAGCAGTCTGCGTGGTCAGTCCTGTGCCACTGGGGTGGGGGGAGCGTTTATTTCTGGGGGATTATGCAGATGTCATTTCCATCAGACTGTTTATCAAGAATTACTGTAAAGCAAAAGAATAAATTTAAATATACGTGGTCATTGGAGGGATTGCTATCCTGAGTTTTCTTAGATTCTATATTTATTTGACACCCGTTAATTATAGAGCCAGACTATCAGCTAGAGTTGTTTACATCTCTCCCTCTGTCCAGAGCCCGCTCTCTGACCCACTCCCTTTATCTCACTCACACACCAGGCCAAGGAGATCCCTGTCCTGAATCAACTCAGGGCCAGGCACCAAGCAGCTGGGGGCAGCCTTAGCCCCTAGGCTGTTTGCCCTGCCTTGCCTTGCCTTGTCTTTCCCATGGGAACCCCAATAAAAGCTATGCCTCCTTATTCCTTTTTTGCCTCATGATTGGCACTGGTGCTTTCTCTTGTGGCCCTACCTGGCGTGGTATGCCTCTCGTTTCTAGGGGAACTTGGAATAACATTCAGTTTTACTTTCCATGGCATTGACCTCTCCATGTGATTGCTCAGTTTTCTTTGTAAATTAAGATCTGCACCCTGGCTGGTGTGGCTTAGTGATTGAATGCCGGCCCACAAATCGAAATGTTGCTGGTTCGATTCCCAGTCAGGGCACTTGCCTGGGTTGGGGACCAGGAGCCCGGTTGGGGGCGTGAGAGAGGCAACTGGTTGTTGTATCTCTTGCACATGGATGTTTCCCTCCCTCTCTTTTTCCCTCCCTTCCCATCTCTCTAAAAATTAATAAATAAAATCTTAAAAAAAAAAAATCTTGGCATAGATCAGTTGCTTTTGGAAGTTGTCATCCAATCATTGAGCAAGGGCTTTTGAGCACCTAGTATTTTTGCCAGATCTTGTGCTTGGTTCTGGGATGATTTTTTTTTTTAAATGTTGAAAACTTACAACTTTGTTGGAGAGACAGGTCATATTTTTTTAAATAACTAAATGTACAAGACTGCACTATAAATGCCTTGCAGACGACACAAACCAGAAGTTCTGGAGGAGTTTGAAAGAAAGCCCAGACTTAGGCAATCAAGGGAGGCTTCACAAAAAGACTGCACTGAACTCAGCCTCGAACAATGGCTAGCGTTCAGATAAAGAAGATGGAGAGACTGTTCCAATTAGGAGCAGCAGCATGATCAAAGTCATCACGCAGAGCGTGCATATGGCCTGCGTGCAGGAGGCTGAGCACATGGAGCAGATCCTGGGAGATTTGGGACATTTTCAGAGGCAGGAAAGGAGTGGCTGGAGCTTCTTATTACCAATAATTAGGTCTCTCACATTTGTCTTAACACCTTCTAGTTGATGAAAAACACACACTTTTATTCTATGAGGTAGATCTCGCTGTGTTTTTCAGATGCGAAAAGTCTGTCCGGGAGAAGAAGGCATCGCAGAGTACACTGCCTGAACTGCGGGAAGTGCCGCAGCACAGGTGTGCCCAGCCTGGGCGCTACGAGAGCCCGGTCCCAGGCTGGCGTGTGGTGTGGGGAAGGTGCGTCAGGGGAGGCTTTCTGGAGGAGGCACAGGAGAGCTGGGTCTTGAAGCAAGGGTCAATGAAGGAGAAGAAGAGCACTGTAGGCAGAGGGAACAACATGAGCTAAGGCACAAAGGTCAGCATTGTCAGTAAGGCCAGAAACGAAGTTGGTGCCCTGGCCTTCTCTGTGCAGGTCCATGTTCTACTTGGCTGGGAATTTATCCCACCTTTCGAGAAGAAGTTGTTCCAGTCATTTTACGTAAAAAACTTTTTTTCCTGCTATGTTTCACCCTTACTGTGTTCACAGAAGAGTAAACAAAAATGAAAATAAGGTTTATAGAAAAATTTTATTTCCTGATGGAGATTCTCAAAAGGAGAAAAAAGAAGTAGATCCAAATGTCAGCCCTAGGCCACAGGTGTGGGCTTAAGTGAGAGAGAGACTCGTGCATGTATGCCAAAGGTACTACTTAAATGAATTCTTAAAATGGAGATAGGAGCCCCTCACACGTTTTCTTTCATTTTTTGGAGGCAAGCACATGCTTTGAGGAGCGAACATTATAGCAGGGCAATACAGACAGCTTTTGCTTCTTATCCTGCACAGAATAAGTGCCTTCACTTGTGCCCATGCACTTAAACATCGGTGTCATTCAGCATTGGGCACGTGAAGAGATGCTGTGCTGTCAGTTGTGTGTGATCAGAATGAGTTTACTAAGCAAAGGAGATTGGAGGGCTCTGCATTCTCCGCAGTGATGGACTGAGATTGGGCGAGGAGGAGGGAAAAGGAGGGGCAGATTGCTCTGCTCATACCTGTAACGTGGCTCTGCCTCGCTCTTCAAAGACCAGCCTTCTCATCGTGGCCTCCAAGGCCCCCGTAGCTGGTCCCAGCCCCTCTCCAGCCTCCTCCCTTTCTACTGACGTGACACTAACTTGTGGGGTTTCTTCTCACCTCAGAGCCTTTAGCACATGCTGGTCCTTCTGCCTGGAAAGTGGTTCCCCTTCCTCTTGGCTGAGTTAACTCGGGCAATTTTTCAGATCTCACTCAAACATCAGGCAGTGCTTCTCAGACCCCCAAACTAGATGAGACCCTCACATGTTCTCATAACTCATGGCCCTAATACTGTTAGTTATTGTGTAATTAATTGTGGAAGTAGTGGTTGAGTGTCTCCTTAAAAGCGTATAAGCTTGAGAGGAAAAGGGATCATGTTTACTTTACTCTCTGCTGCATCTCCAGACCCTTTATCAGACAAGGTGGTCAGTTGACATTTATGAAAGTAGAGATAGAAGGAGGTGAGGGAGAAAGAAATGCACAAGTTGCTCCATTTGTATATCATCAAGTGTCTCTGTGGTCCACTGTTTAAAATAACTGTAATGAGGCATAACTGACATATAATAAACGACATACGTTAGAAGTGCACAAGTTGATTAGTTTTGACACATGTAAGCAGAAATAAACTATCCCCATCATCAAGATGTAATGGACATAATCCATCACTCTCTCAAAATTTTTTTAATGTCCCCCATCCCCATAATAACTCCCTCTAACCTCCCCACACCTCAGGCAACCACCCATCTGCTTTCTGTCACTGTAGATTAATTTGCACTTTCTAGAGTTTCATCTAAATGGAATCATACAATTTGTACTCTTTTCTTGTCTGGCTGCTTTTACTTAGCATTATTATCTTGAGATTCATCTATGTTATTCTGTGCATCAATAGTGCATTGTCTTTGTTGCTGCATAGTATTCCATTATATAATCGTATCATAATTTGTTGATACATTTCCCTTGTCGATAAACATTTGGGTTGATTCAAGTTTTGAGCTATGAAAAATAATGTATTTCTGAACATCTGTGTGTGAAAGTCTTTTCATGGCTTAGCCATATGCTTTCATTTTTCTTGGGTAAACACGTAGGATAAGAATGGCTAGGTCGTATGGTAGATGTAAGTTTAATTCTTTAAGAAACTGACCACTATTGGCTTTTCAACCCATCTGCTTCCAGCAAAATGTTGTGAAGATTGACATCATAATTCTAAAGTGTGTTTTGAGTCTTTCAGGAATAAAGGCAGCCCATAGCACGGTGGGACGGGAATTCCGGGCGAGAGAGCGTGATTACATTTTCATTTTAGTGCAGCCTAGTGCGGCCTCTGCCGCGGGCGGCAGCTCTCTAACCCCTGACTCTGGGTGTCACTCTCCTTCCTCACATCACACCGTATCGCCTACTCACACACTGTTCCCTAGATATTTCCCTGGGTTCTTCAAATACTAAAAACATAATAGTGAGGGAAAGGTCCACATTTAGCTGTGATCCAGGCCATTCTGCTGCACATACACCTTTGTTCCAAGAAACGTCTGCAAAATCCAAAGCCCTAATCAATTTGTCTCTATTTTCCTCAGGGGGCACTTAAACTGGCTTCAGCTAGATCGAAGAGTATTGGAACATGACTTTCCCAAAAAGTCAGGACCAGTGGTTTTATACTTCTGTGTCAGGTATGTACACCTGGTATCTACTCTTTCGTTTCTCTACTCTTTCGTCTCGTCTTTCTACTCTTTTTTTATTTGTCAGGAAATTCTGGGAGGGTATAGTGATCAAAAGAAAGGAAAATCAAGTTTGTCTTGATTCATTACCAGGGATAGAGGTCATGACATAGCTACATTTCCAGTAGATATAAAATAGAGCGTGAGTGTGTAAGGCATGTCAGTGTGTGTGTGTGCACAGACATACATGTTTGTGCTCTTGCATAGGATGCTTGGGTGGAATAAAGAAACAAGGTTTTTTAAAATTTATTTACTTTTTGGGTGAGGCATATATCTCAAACTAAACTGGGTCTCTTAAAATAATACACACTTGTAGATTCTGTTTTGGTGGCCATTTGAAGCAGCATATTTTCTTTCCTTCTATCACAAGTGCCACTTGGCCTCTTGAAACTTACCAATTTATCCCAAAAAGGAGTGATTGAACCCAAGCAGTAAACCACAGATCAATGCATTCTCTGGTAGTGGAGGATATAATATGGATATGATATACTATAATATCAGAAACAATAGGCATTTCCTATTTACTAATCTTGTGAAGTTGTTAAGTTTTATTTTGTGACTGCAGAGAGCTGGATTTGCTTCTTGTAGCTAATATTTGCAACAATCTTAGGAAGTCGACCAGACTTAGCACATTGGTTTGCAGAAGGTTGTGTGAAGCCAGAGGGCATCAAGGTCATGGTTTCTGGGGAAAGGTACAAATTGTAGCAAAACTAGAATCTGAGCGGTAGTTGGTGGAGCCAGAACCCTCTGGCTTCATAAGGTTTCAGTCCAGAACCTTCATTGAAACACAATTGCAGAGACATGTGGCATGAGTGCCTCAGTCTTCCAGTGGACACTGGCCTTTCCACACACTCCATGGACCCAGCTCTTTTAAAATATGTGAACAGACGTGTGAGAGCAGGACACCGATTTACAATTCAGTTCTGAAAGAGCACGGCCAGGAGTGCAGTTTTGGCCATAGCCATGCTGATACCGCAGGAGGCATTAGGAGGGGCTAAAAGCAGAGTTAGGGGCCCCATTTAACAGGCAGGAGTGTGTGTCTTTACACAGCTGGTGAGGTAAACTTAAACTTGCATTTAATGACTTAAAAAAATTTTTTTAATCCTCACTGGAAGATATGTTTATTGATCTTAGAGCGGGTGGGGAGGGGGTGCGATGAGGGGAGAGAAAGAGAGGGAAAGAGAAAAGCATAGATCATCTGCCTCCCATATGTGCCTGACCAGGAGCAGAACCTGCAACCTAGGTATATGCCCTGGCTGGGAATCTAACCCACAGTCTTTTGGTGTATGGGGTGCTGTTCCAACCAATTGAGCCACCCAGCCAGGGCTAATGGCTTTTTTATTTGTTTAACAGCTGTGAACATATCAGAGCCAATCTTCACCATTTTTATTATTGTTGGGCACGATTTCAATGTCATGTTCTTTTGAATGGTGTCTGCATTTTCTCAGATAAATGGAAAAGTAACGTTATAAAGCAAAGAGTAACCTGTAATGGAAGGTGGCTGAGCACATTTGCCATACGTGCATTAGGCTGTTTCCTCCTTCCTGAGGCTTTTGAACATTGTAAACTAAGAGGAGAAAATACCGGGCTGCTTGTATGTCAGGTTTTTTTTCAGGTGCCTGCGATGGGCCGAGTTATTTGTGAGTTGGGGGAACCAAGCCTTAGGCAGAGGTGTCCAACTTTTTATCATCTCTAGACCACACTGGAGGAAGAAGAGTTATCTTGGGCCACATAAATACACTGTGACACATAATCACAAAAAAAAGTCTCATAATGTTTTAAGTAAATTTATGACTATGCTGGGTCCCATTCATAGACATCCTGGACCACGTGCGTTGGACACCCTGCTAGAGGAAAGCTTGGGGCACCGTGAGGTTGCCAGGTGAAGTGTTTTGTCTCTGAGAACATGCAGATGGTTTCAAATCACTCCACACTGACTTCTGTTTGTGAGACCAGACACACAGAGGAAGCTGCAGAAGCAGAACCGATGCTGACAACAGAGAGACCTGGGATTGGACGAATGAAAACCCCTCTGCCATGGCGTCTCGTTTTCCTAGCTGGCCGCAGCGGGCACCTCACAGAACGCTCCTTAGGAAAAGCTCTCCACGTGCTCATGTAGGGACAGACTTCTAACAGTATGACCACAAGGCAGAGGTCCTTCTCCAGCTCATCGCAAGAGCAGATCTTTCTGGAAAGCCTCACGTTCCTATTTCCAGTTATTTCTTGGTCACCTGAGAATTTCAACCTCAGCAGGTCCAAAGCCAGATTCATTGTCTTCCCACCTACTCCCACTTCTGCAAATCTCTTGTGGTCCCTTCAAATCTGTGACATTACTATTCTCATCATCTAGGCTTTTGGTCTTGAAGCTTTCTTCTTCCTCAAATTCTTATGTGCATTAGTTCTTAGCCTCTACTTCCAAAATCTCTTGTCTACCCTCCCTTCTCCATATCTTCTGTGACTTGATCTATTGCACCTGCCTCCCAGGGTGGGTGTTACCTGAGCACTGGCCACAGGGGATTCTGGCTCCCAGAAACTACATGGCCCTGAATCCCCACTTTCCCGTTGGCTGAACAGTGTAGGAACGGAACACCAGTAGTTTGTTTTCTCCGAGAGAGAAGGCAGATTCTCCCATGAAGGTGAATTCTGCATTTTTACCTTGGTGCTCAGCCTGGGGAGAAATCCCAACTTACAACTTGGTACCTTTCTGGGGATGCCCAAGGCCCTTTTCTCCAGAGGAGTAGTATGATATATTGTCTTCCTAAAAGACCCAAACCTGGAATAGGCTAGAGTCCAAACAAGGGTTTCCATCCAGCTGAGCACTTTCCCTGTGCGGCGACGCTGACCTTTCTAACAGGAGCATCCGTCACACACACGTCTCTGGGAGCAGCCTGGCCTCCTGGTCCCTCATAGCCTTTCTGCTTTTGTTTAAACATCTCTATATTACATCTGTCTAACATGTGTACATTAGCCTTTGTGGAAAAGTGGAATAAAACCACCTGAGAAAAGAGACCGTGGAAAATACCAGCCACCTTAAAGCTCAGTTTTAGGAATTCATCGAGTGGCAATATTAACCCTGTGTCACTGAGGTTCTGCGTTTGGGCTGCCATCCCAGCATGATTTGTTGTTTGACATTTATGTGCTATTTGGCATTTATATATTCTTCCTCTGTAAAGCATACTCAAAACAAAACATCTGTGAGAGGGAGGGCAGACTTACTGCCTCCAGCCAACCGAACAGGAAAAATAGAGCCCAAGGATATTAAATCATGTGAATTTGAACTCAGAGAATTCTGCCTCAGCCTTGAAGCCAGAACGTCTTTTTAATGAACATTTCTTCCTTGGAGGGCCTCAAGCTGTGTGACACTACAGAACTTTCCCAAAATGGTAGGACGTAGGACTAAGAATGCACCTTCATTGACCCAAAAAAGCCTAAAAGGGATCTGCTCCCTGCAACTCATTAGTCAAATCACCAGGAATGACCACTGTGGCTTCTAAGTCTTACTAATTACCTAAAAAGGAAAAGGGTCAGAGAGAAGGGGACTATCTGTTTTTCAGGATGATTTTTAATCTTCACAACAACCCTTGAAGCAGGAATTACTTATTATTCCTAATGAAAAATAGGAGATGGGTGCCCAGGAGTGTCAGGTAAATTCTGCCTCCAGCATGACTAGTAAGTTACAGCATCTGTTCAGTCAGAGCTGATGCCAAACCTCGGGCTCTGCCCCGCTCACCAGGCTGCCTGCCTCCTAAGTGAAAAGTGACACTGCAGTTGTTCATCGGAGACTGCCACGGTCGCTCCCTTTGTGAGGAGGGCCAGAGGCACCCAAGTCAAGATCCATGACCTTGGCTGATCTCGCGATCCGCACTTCGCCATGTCTGCAGAACCAGCATCTGTCTGTAGCGATGGTGGTGGGGACAGATGCACGTAGCACCGGGAGCGAGGCGCGTGCAGAGCAGCCCTCCCGGGCCTGGCGTACCTGTTCAGCGCCGCCAACTCAGACACCATTGGCAGAGCAGCTCCTGAAGGGCAAACCCACAGTCAGAGCTTGGCAGCATGTTGGAAACTCCGCATCAAGTAAAGGAGAAGTATATATGCATTTTCTCCAACTTGTAAGGTCCTAGCAGCTGTGCCTGTCATCATCTCTTTGCCAATTCGATCCAAACCCCACTGTGCACCCTTGCAACCACTCCTTTACCCTGGAGCTTACCTCCTCTTGCTCCATGGCACAGGTACATACATGTCTACACAGGTATGCATGCACACACACATCCCAGTTGGGTTGGGTCAGTCCGTCATACTCTTGTTTTATTTCTGCCCTGGAGCTGCCGCACGCGGTGGCGGGGTGGGGAGTGGAATCACACAGCCGCCTGTTGGTGCATGGCTGACTGTGACCAGGCTCACAGAGATCGCCCACTGTGTGCCTGTTTGGGGCCTCTGCCTGCCCACAGCGGCTTTCCTTCCCTCTCGCTGCAGGTGCCAAACGAGAGCTCACCCCCTTTGCTCCGAGAAGGTAGCATGGCTCATGATTTTGCAGAGGAGCCGAAAGCTAGCACAAGTGATCTCCCTCAGACCTCCCTATCTTTACCCACAAACTTAATTGTATCCACTTCATCTCTGTGGCCTTCTCACCCACCCACTGCGCGCGCATACACGGACATGGGAAGAGGAAGAGTGACCGTTGCTCTCCCATCATCCAAGGCTGGCAGGTTCATGCGTCCTTCCGTTCCAGCCCCTCTGAGAGCTTGCCCCCTCCACCTCCCCTCTTCCCTCTCCTTTTCTCTGTTTGAAGCAGCTGCTTCTCCGTGGATCCCTCCCCAACATGGCCACCTTGCTCCTACCCTAAGAAGAAAATGCCCTCCCGACTTGCTTCCTCTTCCAGCCACTACCCTTTGCTTCTCCTTTGGTTCACAGCAAAGGTTGCGAAGATGGGTCTGCACTTGCTGCCTCCCTTC